CCATTTTCAGCCTCAGTTGACTTTCAGTTTTCCAACTTTAGTAATATTCCTTTTTCTCCCCAAATCAAAACCAACAATCTTACTTCATTACTTACAACTTTGGGGATAATGTTTGGTTTCTCTCGTAAGCACAAGAAACTTGGAAGGTTAAGATTTACAATTCTTTTTCACTTTTTCTTCACTAGTTTCTTTTCTGTTTATTGATTAATTTGTTTTTGTTTTGGTAGAGTGAAGAAGGTTCAACTTTCTGACACTACACATGGAGCTAGAACTCCTATTAGGCACCCTAAACGAAATGGAAACTCTAATGTGAGTTTTTTTTTTCTTCCTTCATTGTGTGAAATTGAAGTTGAAACATACAATGACTGTGGTTATTAAGTTTTAAGCTTCTTTCAGGGTGACGGAGTTGCCGGGACTAGTGGTCATTCTTCTTCTTCTGAGGATATTGATTGTCAAATTTCATCTACTGCACCTGAGGTGATAAGTAATTGTGCATCAGGTAGTTCAGAGAATTGGATGGTGTTGTCAATTGCAGGAGATAAGCCCGTTCCTAGATCCTATGTATGCAATTATATCATCTTTTATCATAGAAGTAACATATACATAAGCGTACTTATATGATAAGCACTTAATTAAGTTGTTTATCCAAATAGACCCCTGGTGTCTATTTGGATTGACTTGATTGAGTTTATCAATTGACATAAACAGTTTTGAAAGAGCTTATGGAAACGACTAATACCACGTCCATAAAAATGTTTTCAACTTATTTTTATAAGTTCTTTAGGATATGTTATGGCAACTGACATAAGCTTGAATGCTATAAGGAGTTAGTTAAGGTGTTTATTCACACATAATAGGTCACTTTGTAGAAGAGTTACTACTTATGAGCTGTTATGTCAATGTACTGACTACTGAAGTATTATTATTCATTGGAATAGCATGCAGCGTGTGTTATTGAGAATAAGATGATAGCGGTTGGTGGTGAATCTGGGAATGGATTGTTAGATGACGTGCAGGTGAGTGAGCGAACATTTCTAGTTTTGGAATTGGAAAATTTATGATTGAGAGATTGTTGTTCTATATGAGCATTATTATTTGGTGGTTGCTTCATCACATCAACATACTATTCATTATATTGGCAGGTTCTGAATTTTGACACATTTTCGTGGACCACAGTGTCATCCAAGCTATACTTGTCACCAAGTAGTCTTCCGTTACAGATTCCAGCTTGCAAGGGTCACTGTTTGGTACATTTAAATTTACGCTTTTAGCCATAATTGTCTGTATTCTGATATGTTTAGTTCTTTTAATCCAAGTGATTTTGATAATGGCACAATGCTCTCATCTTAGACATGGAATAACATGTCTGTCAAGATGGAAAGTTCATGAACTTGATCCCAATAACATGTCTGTAAATTGAGGCTGGTAGAGATGCTTACTAATGCAACTAATCAAATTTCATGCACAATTGAGTTAAAATATGATATTAAAATTTTGCAATCTTCAACTTTGACTAGGTTTCTTGGGGAAAAAAAGCACTCCTCATTGGAGGGAAAACAGACCCTGGAAGTGACAAAATTTCTGGTTCAAACCCATGTTCTTTGCATATGTAATAGCATTGTGCTGATTCATGCCGTGGAGTTCTTCTAACTGTCTTTTTTGGCTTTTGTAGTATGGGCATTTGACATAGAGACTGAGTGTTGGTCACTCATGGAAGCAAAGGGAGACATACCGGTAGGAATATTGAAAGTGGAAGTTTTTGTTTTGTAGTGTAGACAGTTGATCTTGGGGATTGTTTTTTTAGATTTGCGTAATCCAACTATCAGGACATATGCTTTTCGATTGCGATTTGCATATCATGCCCTATAAGAATACTCAAGACATGAGCCTAAACAGTTACACATAGAGAATGTAGACAAATAAACTATTACATGGACTACCGATAAATCATAATTTGATTTCGTCTACTGAAATCTCTTTAGGAAGTGCTGACCAAAGATTTTGTTCTTGGCAGACTGCTCGAAGTGGTCATACAGTTGTTAGGGCTAACTCTACTTTGATATTGTTTGGAGGAGAAGATTGCAAAAAGAGGAAATTGAATGATCTACATATGTTTGATCTCAAGTCCTTGACATGGCTTCCACTTCATTGCACGTAAGTGTTTATAAATATTTCTTTTACTCTTTGTTTAGAAAAGGTCGGAAACTAAAAGTTAAGTTTCGACTTTGATGGAATCATCTACTCAGAAAAACTTGATATATATGTTTGCATGTACCTGAAAGAGTATATTACTTGCAGGGGCACAACACCTTCTCCGAGATGCAACCACGTCGCTTCTCTTTACAATGGTAAAATTCTTTATATATTCGGAGGAGCGTCAAAATCTAGGACCTTGAATGACTTGTACTCACTCGACTTTGAAACGGTGTGTGAGCTCTCCGTATAGTCATTCATAACGAAATTTAATGATTTCCAATATGCAAATTAAATCTTCATTCATTACATAATTTTGTGAGAACATTATTTCAGATGGCATGGTCAAGAATAAAGGTGAGCGGTTTCCATCCATCACCAAGAGCTGGTTGCTGTGGTGTTTTATGCGGCACTAAGTGGTATATTGCAGGTGGTGGAAGCAGGAAAAAACGTATGTTTTAATACAGCCACAAGAATTTGCATCATATGCATAGAACTTAATCTCTGCAATTTGTTCTTTCATCTATATTTGCAGGACATGGAGAGACTTTGATATATGATATTAAAAAAAGTGATTGGTTTCTAGAAATTGCATCGCCTCCTTCTTCCATCACTACCAACAAGGTGAACATTTTATATTTCCTTTCGCGTATCATTCGACTATCGCTAGCCTCCTGCAGTTGACTGCACTGTTTATGCACTCATTTAACACTTAACAGTGATTTTCCTCAATGTATAAGATTGTTTGAAAGCATACTTATGATTTCTGTTGTATTGGCAGGGATTTAGCTTGGTTCTTGTGCAGCATAAGGAAAAGAACTTTCTTGTTGCATTTGGGGGATCGAAAAAAGAGGCATCGAATCAGGTTTAACAAATGTTTAAAGAACCTGTATGAGTATGAGTTTTCTTTTGGTTGAACTTCTGGGTTTGAACCTTTTTTTCTTGGCCGTGACAGGTGGAAGTGTTGAAAACAGAAGAAAGTGAATCTGCTTCCAGAAGACAACCGACTACCACCAAAGGTTCAGGATCTATACTTGAAAAACATTCATCATCCACTCAACATAGAAATGACTCTTCACAGCGTTTTATCGACTCTATTGTTAGACAAAAACTGGTATCTGCAATTGAACATGGTTCTGAAAGGAAATCTCTGTCGGAAGCTCTGTCTGTACAAGATTCTGGTTCTCTCTCTACCAACATCTCCCTTCACAGTCAATTTGATCCTGATTTAGAATTCGATGTAGATGATAGGGGTGACAAGCATTCGGAAGACGAGTCATTCCATGAAAACGTTAAGTCAGGAACACTGTCTACTGCTTCGAATATATACAATTATTATGAAACTAAAGTGTCCTCCCTAACAAGAAAATTTGGAATTCTGGAGGCACAATTGGCAGCTTCATTAGAAAGCAAAGAAGCTGCTGAGAAAAACTTAGCGTCCGCGTTTAAAAGCAAGCAAGAGACGGATAAGAAAATGGACGACACACTAAAGGAGATTGAATTGCTGAGAGGGAAGCTGGTTGGTGCAGAGTTAGCTCATGAAGAGGCTAACAACCTATCTAACATTGTTCATTCTGACAATGTAAGGCTCGAACATGACGTGGCTTTCCTCAAGGCTGTTTTAGATGATACACAAAAGGTATGATATGACATTCCATTTTATGATATTATTTGCATGCCGCCAAAATGTTAGTACTGACCGAGTAAACTCTTAGTAGGAATTGCACTCGACAAGAGGAGTTCTTGCAGGAGAAAGAGCCAGGGCATTCCAGTTACAGGTGCATTCTTAGATTGACTACAAATATTTGCTTTTCTTGTCATAATGTTTGATGTTTTTACATACATTGGATTCTTAAACTCGATTGCAATCTTTGTTGGCTGCATAGGTTGAAGTTTTTCATCTCAAACAGAGACTTCAGTCAATGGAAAATCGAGCACCTACTCCAAGGAAACCTTTTCATGTGTAGAGTGAGGTGTCCTCAATGGTCAAATATAACAATCAATTTCAGCAAACCAAAAATGAACAGACAAAGCTTCTTAAGGAAAGTGCATTTTGAGGATGGCATTGAAGACTTAGACAACCTCCAAATATGCAGTGTTACTGCATTATTACTGGAACTGTCCTTTGGTCACAAATTAAATGTGACAAAATTGAGTCCAAAGAGAAATATGATGTTAAAACATTTAAGATTCATTGAATTGGTTAAATGAGTATTAGATTATAGTTCATTGTTCTGTAACTGTAACTGAATTGAGATGCGTTTAACAATAGTAATATATGTTCTGTAACTAATAAACTGAGTTAGGCTATAAAGTAGAAAGAGAGAACCTAATAAGCAATTGTTTTACAAGGCTGAAGAAAGAACAATTGTTTGTATTTTTCACTGCAACTAAACTTGTGACCACTCCTTTAACATATATCTTACAAATACATAACCAAGAGAACAGAAATAATCTACAATTGAGATAGATAACACAGCCACCAGCTTGAGCTGATACATATTTGACCTTACCAACTGGCACTTCAACTGTCTGACCAAAGTTTAACCTCAACCACTCATTGAATAAATATGAACCGCGGCATCTAATCCATGCACTCCATATATATATACACGGTTACCAGATGCAACAGTTCACACTGATAAAATTCTGTGTTTTCTGATGTGAACTTCTGCTATAGTAAGACACAGAAAATCTTCGTTCCTTATAGAACGCCAAAGTAATTCTAATCAATCCTACTGCTAAGGCTATCTCAACATTATATACTATTTCCAGGGGTGTTTTTTTCTTCCTTTGAATATTGATACTCACAGAAGTTCAGTCTCGTCTTGATCTCCATCACCATCTTCAACATCATTGTCTTCGTCTTCTTCAGGTGCATCGGGATCTACTCCCTGAACAAATGCAAAATCACAAAATTGCCGGTCAAATTTCAATGTTTGGGTAGACCACGCTCTAAAAGAGTGAATGAATAAAAAGAGCAAACCTTCATTTGCTTCTCTAAACGCTCTAAACCCCGTTTTGCTGCTTCATTCTGGGGATTTAACCTGCCATTTATACAAAATGTTAGATACATAAAAACATCATAAACATTAAGGCATATCACATGGATATTCTTAACTACAAGGATAGGATCAGTTGTTAAATGCAAAGAACTTCACTGCATAAAATGATGAGAGAAAAGGTTTATTTCAGTATGATCCAACACTGTCATGATATTATATTTTTGGGATATAAAGTCCAGACTCTATGATGAAGCCAAATCAATTCAAGTGATGCCAAACTAAAATATTTTAGAACTCGAGCTGTATAAAAAGAGGGGACAATGCACTATGCCGTGACAGATGTTTACAGAATATGAGATCAACCTTAATGCAGCCTGATAATGCGACAGAGCCTCCGACAGCATATTAGTGGCAGCAAAAACTTGTGCTAATTTCACATGAAGAGAGTCATCAGCCCAGTCTTTTAGATATCGCTCAAGTAGAGACACGGCATCTCCATTTCGGCCCTCAATAACATGGAGCTCAGCCAATGCTAGTGCTGCTCCAAGATAACCAGGTTCCAGTCGTAATGCAGACTCATAGAATTTTTTAGCCTGTATGATGAATGCATTAAGTTTCACACATAAGAAAACTATGATAGTAGTTTATAGATACTGAATCTTAAAAATCTGACAAGTTACCTTTTCTCTCCCGCTCGAATTACTGGCATGCACATCACCGACTAGTTTTAAAGCCTTTGCCGATTGAGGCATTGCTTTCATTGCCTCTCTAGAAGCATACAAAGCCTCTTTAATCTTAGAGAGCGCCAAATATGTATTAACCAAACCTAGAAAAATCAGATTGATGTCAAAATCTGTAAATTTTGCATTTCCCGTAATTAGCACTTTGCAATAGAATGGCAATGAAAAACATGAATGTCGCTGCTGGTAAGACACAACTCAATGCTGCTAGCCTAAATATATTTTCAAGTACAAAACAAACCTTGATATGTGCGTATATCAGGTCTCAATTCTTGGGCTCCTCTGAAAGCAGACACGGCTGCTTCTGCTCGTTTCATTGTCAATAATAGATTTCCCTAAATAAACTCCACTTGTCAAATAAAATTCACAATACTTGCGTTTTCAAATTATAGTTAATTGACGCCATTTGGATTAAAACTAAAACAATTTTATCACCTTCATTATGTACCCTGGTATATGCCGCTCATCAATCCGAATGCTCTGATTATCAAATAGTCGGTCAATTGTAAAAGATAAAATAATTCAATCCATCCTCATCAAATAAAACTACCAACCTGCTCAGCATATGATAATGCTCTTTTCTCATCTTTCCTTTCCCATAAAACAGATAGTGCCACAAAAACCTCTGGTCTTGCAGGATCAATATTCAATAAATCATGTACTAACTTGTTCAGCTTAGAATAATCAGACTTTAGCTTTAGAAGCATTGCATACTCATCCATATATGTTACGACGTATGGATCAATTGATCGGGCCTGTAATTGCCAAGTAACAAGTTTAAGCTCATAAACAAATACAAAGAAGCAACAATTCAATTTATCAACATAATACATTATAACCCCATCATTACCTTCTCAAAATTCATAATGGCCTCTTCATTCTTTCCGATAATAGCTTCAACCTTCATGTACAATATACATCAGAGTTTAGATTGTTAAATGAACAATTTGAGGAAATTATGTATAAAAAACCTACATATACTTTATCATAAAAAAAACTACATATAATTTACTTATTTTATATTTTTTCCCATGATATAAATTATAAAGTCTAATTTCTTGTGTTATTGCTATGACGGTATTTTAACTTTTAGAAAATTGATGTATCCTATACCCATATCCATGCGACCATACCAGGTACCAGTAGGTCCAATACCATTTTTATCCATGCAATGTAGTTAAAACTAAGTACATAATACGCCTGATTGAAAAGGCATATCCACACAAGTTCTAAATCAATGCAGCAATTCACCTTTGCAATCTCAAGTATTAAGTGTATATTATTGGGGAAACGCTGTAAAAGATCAGCAAATAGTTCCAAGCCACCTGCCAGAATCAGAAACAGTGTAAAACTACATGTACCCACGCCATAGAAATAGTATGAGCTAATAAACTTCAGAGTATATCATATAAATAAACAAGGTATCGCTGAAAAAAAGAGTCACATTAACAATGTAGAGTAGGATTTCTAATTTCATAAACTTAAGGTGCGAGAGAAATTGGTCTAACAACCACGCATCCCCATTGAACAGATAATTTAGCAATGACATCGTATACTCCAACGCAAACATTGAATCATACAACTCCATAAATTATGTTAAATCTCACCTTTGTAATCATTTGAAGAGATGCAACATTGAGCTTCAACATAGCGCTAGCAAGAAAAAAGAAAAAATTAATCAGAATTTGCCAAGTTTTAAGGGCCTCTTGGATATGGTGGCATATGTTTACAAATATACAGGTCATTGCAAAATAAATGAGCAGACGATATTAATTCTCAAAATAAAATAAAAAAATAGTTGGATTTTATTTATTAATGTATTTCAAGGTATTCTTTTGACCTAAGAAATGCGGAAGGGGAAAATTAGGATAAACTTGTTAGAATATTATAAATATCTTATATTAACTTAGAGTGGAAGTGAACCAATAATTAAAAATCAAAACAAACACATTCCCAAACTTTCGGAAACTCAATAAACAAAAGCCATCAATAGTTCAAGGAGGACCGAAACAAGCTCCAGTTAATATCATTTTTTCAAAGAAATAAAAAGAAAAGAAAACGCATCCTGAAAATTTGTAAGCTGTTTAATGCAGTTCAAGAATGATATTTTATTTCTCCAATATATCATCTCATACAAAAGCCCTTTCAACTTGAAGGCTAGAAGCAAACTGAAATTCAATTTATGCAAGCACAATGGGAGAGGCAAGGATCAAACTATCGACCATTAGGCTAGAGAGGCTACTATGTTAAGATTAACTCTCCTAAAAGCTTAAGTTTTAAGATGTAGGCTTGCAACAAGTATCATCATGTAGCTCAACATAGGAAAGTACTTAGGAAGTCTACAAAATCAACAAATCAAATGCATCCCCTCACATCATATCATGCATACAAAACCAAGAATACCACCCTCAACAAAAGAATTGATACTTGTCAATGAAAAAATTAACGAGAAAAGAATCTATTTGGTATGATTGCGTTTTACGATATCTCAATTTGCCAAGCTCAATACATTTTAGATATACCATGAAATGAAATCATTGAAATAGTCAGTAAAAATTAATATTTATTCATTCAGTAGACTCACAGTCACCTTTTGTTATTTCTAAAGGATTCCATGTGGTATACATGCTATGCAGGCTAAGGATGACGCTATTCATTTATACATAATCAATTTATCATGATGACAAGCAAAAATCTCTAAGCTGGTAAACAGCAGCAAGTACTTACTTGAAAGCAGTGACAAATTTGAATTATTATATACAACTTACTTGAAGCCAACGACTCGAGTCAGCGTGATCAAATGGAGCCCTCCCAGTTCTATTTAGAGTCTGAAATGAAATGTTTGTGCACCAATTATTTTTTTGGAATGCATTCAAATTATAAATAAACTGCAATCTTACAAATTGATCCAACGTTCATGATAAAAAGTAATTAGTTATTAAAAAGAGCCCAACTCGCTAGCCGGCCAACGGATCATGCTGGGGTGGCCAAGGGCTGAATCTCTACTAAACTTCAGGTATGCAAAAAATATTTCTGCTTTTATCAACAAACCTGAGGAAACAATGAAATGATGTCCTTTGCAGTAGATCCTAGTTCTGATAAAGCAGTGATAGCCTCGAGTATAAAAGGACAATGTCTGGCAAAAAGAAAGACAATCCAATTCAAAATTCAGTAGAAAATTAATGATAGACCATAAGAAAGATGCATATTCACATATAGGAAAGAATAGCTCAAAGCAAGAAAACAATTCCACAAGTACATAACACATTTACTAGAAATACTGCCTAAAGTGAATGCAAGCAGTCAGAATTTAACGACAACCTATTGGTGCCGCATCAGAGGTTCATTCTACGTATGAGAAATGTATATTACAAACCTTAGGCATTCTTTGTAAATAGCAACAGCAGCTCGACTATGTCTAGAAAATCGATATAGCTTTCCTAATAACAAATTCATCGGTAAACTTCTAGCTTTGTTTGGAATTCCTTCCATCTGTGATGTGAATGTGACACAAACAACTCATGAGAAATAAGAAAAATGAAAACAATCTAATAAAAAAACGCAAAATATAAAAACTGCCTCAGTGAAAAACGATAAAATATACAGAATACAGTCATTTAAGGCCAATTATCTCCATAGATAATCCCCGTATACATAGGGTATCAGCATTCCTTTGCCTCAAAATATATCCATAGTTTTGAAAAACAGTTAATGCTAAGCACTAAGCACTCTTGAATCCAAAGCCTATTTGGATCAACTTATATTAGTTCATCTCCGGGCATACATATTTGTGAAAGTGTAGAGTGCTTATCGAAATAGCTTATGACATTTCTATAAGTTGTTTTCAGCCTATTTCCATAAGCTCTCCGTGATAGCTTATGAAAATAGCTTATGCAAAAACTGTTCGATTTTATTTTGACTTTTGCTATAGAAATAGCTTATACATAAACACTTGTATGAAAAGAATTCCTGTTATAAGCGCTTAATTAAGTTGTTTATAAAAACAGGGGCCCAATCTATGAAAAGGGGAGAGTAAGAGATCAAACAAACCTCAACTAGAGCTGCTTTATTCTCATTTAGAAAACAGTGACATGATGCAATTTTGAACTTCACCTGTTAAAGAGATTAGAGAATGAAAAGGAAAACATCATAAAAACCCTGAAAAACAAGCAACCCCTTACAACCACATCAAAAGCCAATCCAACTATCATGAATCAGATAAACACAACACATCTCACCTCGTTTTCATTAATTACAGCTATATTGCAAGAATTTGGAGAAGAAGACCTATTTGACGATAATGAACTCCGAGCAGATGACATGTTCTGTTTGGGAATCATCTTGTAGTATTGTAAAGCTTGCTTATACGTATGCTGTTCATAAACAGAAAAAACCGTAACTGATAAGACTTCGTCATTCTCCCCAAAAATATTTACCTTTTGAATTACTCATTTCAGAAAAGCTTTAAGAAAACACGGTAAGCACATAACCAATAGGACCTGTTTGGTTTAGCTCGTTAAAGTTTATCATCTAACATATGCACTAGGACTATTTAAGAGAGCTTATGGAATAAACTTATGATATGTTCATAAGTTGTTTTCAACTGCATATTCAAAATAAAGAGATAGCTCAGTTTCTTACAATGGCTCTACGATACTCCCTTTCACGGTAGAATGAATCACCAAGTAGCACCTTCACCAAAACAAACAAATAAATACCATAAGAACTTCAATGAACTTATCATACATTAAAAATTCAAAAACATGGAATAGAAAAAAGGAGAATTTCGCAGAGACCAAGCTCTCAGTTTTGAGATGAGGAGAGGATTCAGCATTTGCAGCAGGTGAAGAAACAAGAAAACAACCCTATTTTCCAAAATACAAACTTTCAATCAAACTCATTAAACTCAATCAAAATATAAATAAAAAAGCAACAATTTTTTACATAGATTCAAATTTCAAATACAAAAAGAAAAAAAGAGGGAAAGACAAAAAAAACTAGGTTACGAGCATCTGAGCGGAGTTGTAGAGTCCATTTTCGAGGAGAGAAGCGATTTGATCCTTCGGAACTTCCATTGTTCTTCGTTCTGTAATCAGCTTTCACTTACAAATTCAGAGGGATTCAACTTGATTGGATGCAAACAGTAACAAGAATAAAGGGTTTTTTTCAATTTGAATTTGAATTGGTTTTTCTCAAAAAATCAAAATACATGAATTGGATTAACATACTCCATTGGTCTTTAAATATGAGATCTTATTTGAGATTTTTTTATTCCTTTTTAAAATATTTTAATATATTATAACTATTTTAACTAAAATATTTTTAATAATTTTTTAATCAACGATAAATATTAATTATTAAAAAATTAATATTTTTTATAACGATTTAAATCTATATAATGTATTATGAAGTGGGTATAGTCCTATATTTAGATTTTATTTTTTTGTCAAATAGTCAAAAGAATTCTTTTTTTTATGTATTTACTATTTAGACGTGGTTTTAGTAATACAGGCTACTACTGATGTATGAAATATTTCACATCTTTAGTTTAAAATATTTTTTTTATGTTGAGATGTTTGGTTGGCTTGAAATATAACCAATTATTTTTAAGTTATTTGTCTTAAATATTTTTTGTGAATATATTTTTTATTAAATATTTAAAAGTATAAATGTGTGACACTCCAATGTCAACAGGGGAGGTCAGAGGCTTTTAGAATTTTTGGTGGTTTTATGGTAAGCTCGCGGCGATGAGAAACTATATTTCAAGGTGATTTTGGTATGGAGAGAGTAAGTTTGTGTAAGGTGATAAGCTCTGTATCTTTTTGGGGTATTTCGTGTGTATTTTAACTTGTCTTCTTCAATCCTAAAGTTGAGGTATTTATAGAGGCTTTGGAGTCTGGATTTGGGAATCCTAGACGTATTAATCGTTCCACTTTGATTAAGGAAGTTGTTGACTACCTATTCTTTAGGGAATCGTGATATGGACTTCATGCACATGTAGTTATAGTTTATGCGCATGTAACCCCTCATATTTCTCATCAAGGTGAGTAGCCAGCAGAGTTGGGGGTATATATAGTTGTCATATTATTGGGTGATCGCCTTATGAGGCTTGGCCTAATATCGTGTTGTCATAGGCTTTTACAAATGTAGTGTTATGTTGTAGAAGTCTTAAACTAGGGCGCCATCGCCCAATGACCAAGCCTTCCAGGCGGAGACTAAGAGACTCGCCCAAAGGCGTCTGTTACGTGTAGGTCAAGGAAGAAGGAGTCTCTGCTAATTTTTAAAAAATAGGTGGTCAATAACTTCCTTTGATATAGAGGGGGCAGTTTACACCACTAAGGCGGTCCAAACTTGTTTCAGACTGACCCAATCCACTTTTGCTCCTATAACGGCCCAACTGCCCAGGTCCAACCTCTTTGGTGGAAAGTTTACCTTTCTGCCCCTCCAACAGGGGAGGTTGACCTATTTACCCTTGGTCACAGCACCTCTCCCCGTTAGTCTTTGTCAGTCACGCACGGTTCCACCATCCAGAAACAACCAAGACGCTTGTACCCGTAATTATACCTTTGTACGTTCCAACGGCTAGTTATGGGCACGTCTGTCGTCCCAACGGCTATTTCTGCCAGTTACCTTTTCTTCGGGAAACGGTTATCTCGCCCCGAAAATAGGGACTAATGGTCAAGCGCTGGGGGCATTATAAAAACCCTCTCATTTGAGAAGGTCAGGTATCCAATTTTCTCACCTTAAAACACATATATTTTGTACTTGCTCGTTTTCTTACTTTAGCATTGAAGTGTCTTGCAAGTACACCCCCTCCTCCTCTTTCACACCTAGCATCACAGACGTTTGTCATTGGCCCATCTCAGATTCTGATCGTTCGGTAAGATCAATGGCGTCGTCTATGGGAACTTTGTTATCCCCGTCTTTTCTCTCTTCATAAGAACATAAGACCAAAACAACTCTTCAACTTCCTGATCATGGTTGCCCGTGACAACAATCTTGATGCTCATAACTTCGGTTTCCTCCCTGTCAGCAAGACTGATGCTAAAGGGGCTTCCACCTCTCACGGCGACGCCCTTCGACGAAAGGAAAGAGCCACAACTTCTCCATCCCTTGTTCACGCATACCACGGCAAAGCCCCACTTGTCCCGCAACACCTGTTGGTTCCAGTTCCGCCCAATGTCGACCCAGCCATGGCGGCCCTCCTCGAGGTTCTCAATAAAACCAACCTCGTAATCCTCAACCAGAGCGCAAGAATTGAAGTATTGGAAGAATCTCATCGTCTAAGATCCCTTCCACCAAGGAAAGAGCGTCAACAACTACGGAGTCACCCTCCTCGGCGCGAGAGGAACCTTCAATCGCCTCCAAAACCAGAGACTTTGGTCATCCGCAAACGCGACCAGATTTCTCCCAGGAACCAGCAATCTGTGCAGCCCAAGAGGATCCGAAGAGGGCACCAAGTAGAGTCTCTGCATTCGCCGCCTAGGTCCAAAGACCGAGCACAAACCTCGTCTTCGCGACGTGGCCACCATCACACCTATGGACGTGGCACCCGCTCCCCATCCTGGACCAACAGCAACAGCAACGACAAGTCTCGCGGCCCGTTATCCCAAGAAATCATAGACATGCGTCTCCCAAAGGGACTAGAGAAACCCCCTTCTCTAGGCACATATGACGGAACAACCGACCCTAACGAGCACATCGAAAATATTGATGTACTGCTCGACTATCACGATGTTTAGGGCGCCATCAAATGTAGGTTATTCCCGACCACACTCAGGAAATGGGTCATGACCTGGTATAAAGGACTCCCGGACAACTTCATCACCTCATGGAGACAACTGAGGAGACTCTTCTCCAGACATTTCACGGCCTCTCGCCGACATCCGAAGACCTAAGCATCCCTCAAGGCCATCATCCAAGGTAGGGACGAACCTCTGCGAGCCTACATTGAAAGGTTCAATAAAAAGGTCGTCTAAGTCTCCACCACTGATGACATAAAGAGATTACTACTGGAACGCGGGATCCGTCCCTGCACAGACTTCGCTAAAGCTATAGGCCTTCGGTCCCCAGTAACACTAGATGCTTTCCTCCTCAGAGCTCAGTCGTACATTCTGTACGAGGAGAAGTCAGCTCTGCCCGAGAGTCTAGACACAGGGAGAATGTTCGCCCAAACAGGACTGACGGGCCCTCGACATCCTGTCGAGGAGATAAAAAACGGGAAGACCGTCCCCCCGAGACCCGGGACAACAAGGGACCCTCTAGCAGGTTCCACGAATACACCCCATGACAGTCTCGAGGGAAAAGATTCTCACTGAGTGCGCCAACTCAAAATTTTGCTAGGCAGGGGTCCATTTCCCAAAACAGATATCGGTCAAACCTAATACCGACAAGTCCAAATATTGTCGGTTCCATAAGAGTCACGGTCATACGACGGAAGACTGCATCCACCTGAAGGATGCCATTGAAATACTCATCAGGGACAGGCACCTGAAGCAGTTCGCCAAGAGAAAGGAAGCTCATTGACCAGACGCCCAAGAGGCCCAGAAGGTCGAGGAAGAAACACCTTCCTCCGGAGAAACCAACCTGCAGGTCGCCATGAGCATCTCACAACCTGAAGATTTCTGTGTCCCTGAGGGACTCGCCGCCTCTCCGTATTTTGTCGTGCACATCCTGTGGGAGACATTCCCCTCCTCCATGGTCATCTCTAGAGGAGGTTTCAACAAAGTAATGGTAGGATTTGTCAAGAGGAAATTCGAGCACCTCATAAGCAGCAGTTAGAACTGGAACTCCACCCTTGACAAGATCAGGGGAGAATCCGTCCCTATTTGCTTCTACCGCAAGGAGCTCCTCAGCGGAGCACCCTGACGCTACTGCAAAAAAAGAGCCGAAAAAGACAGAAGAGTCGCCACCGTTCGTTATTTATCCCAAAGAGAGGGAAAGGAAACGATCAGAGAAAACCTACGAAAGAGGAAAAAGACAGGTCATCGCAACCAAATCTCGGGTTCGGGAGTCGGTTACGCAAGGGGAAGGTATGAGCACCCCTCACGTCCGTTGTACTCAACGGGATCCGCACTTGTTATTTATCTAAAAGGGTGTTGATCTAAAAGGCTGGCTCACAGGGACAAAAGAAAAGAAAAGGGACTCGATAGAGCATCGCCGCTCTATGCCTATGTATTCCCTCGTGCAATGGGAAAGTCAGAGTCAACGTAGTTCGGAAAACTACAGGTGAAGGTGGGGAAGGTTGCTCGCCAAGACATCGTTGTCTTGTGCCTACGTATCCTCGTCTGGTACAAGAAATCAGAGCAAACATAGTTCGGGCTGACACGACTACAGATTGGTTCGAGTGTTTTAACTAAGTAGGGTTAAACCTTCGTTCTAGCAGTTAGGTGTATAGCTGCTCGACCATTGGAGACTTAGGCGTTACCTGTTTGTGGTAGAACCAAGAGTTAACACACTCTTTTTAAAAATGATTTTCCAAACAATCCCGAAGGATAAAAAAGTTTGATGTTTTGTTTTGTGTTTTTTATGAAGAAGTGAATTGAATTAAGTTTGTAATTCATGTTGTACTAAAGACTATGACTTGAGAGCGAATGCGTCGCATATCGCCCAAAGGGCATACACTAAACACTCTAGAGATTTGAGAGGAAGCCCCTCAACTATCATTCCCCAAGTACTTAAGGCTCGTAGTGTACAACACTTATTATCCTTTATTAGGTGTCTTAAAATGTTAAGAGATGAAAAGAGAAGACACAAACTCTAAGGGGATACTAAACAACCCTAGTGTTATCATGCAATGTGCTCCTAAGATTGAGATCAAGAGAGGAAAAGACTATCCTAATGTTAGAATGCTTGGATTGAACACTTAATGTCTCTCTTACTCCCATCCTAAACGAAGGGACTAGGAATCCTAAGGGATCATGGCGAAAGACCAAGAAAACACAAGATAAATCAATCACAAATGAAATGCAAGAGAGAGATGAAGTTGACTTAAACAAGTCAAGAGCAAAGTAAACATGATATGCAAGACTCAAATGATGCAACACAAACAAAAGATTAAGGCAAAATAACTTAA